GCTGGTCTGAACTGAGATGTGCTGTGACAGAAAATGCACATTGGATCTCAACGTCCTAGTACAATGGAAAGAATGTAAAGTATCTCAGTAATTTGGACACTGATTACAGGTTGCAATAATAAGGTCTCATTGACTACAATCGTGTAGTAAAGAATTTGGCCTTATCCAATGAGAGGTCTATCCTGTGCCCTCAGCTTCAGGAAGGTGATCTGTGTCATACCTTACAGGCGGGTCTTTGGTTAGGGTGGGTGCTGGCTGTGCCAGAAAGGCCATTAGTGTGACTTAGGGTGGAGGCTTGAGTCACGTGGTATCAGTTAACCTGAAGACTGAGTTCAACCACATGGGCGATCAATCAATCAACCAATCTTGACTGTGTAATGAAGTCCCAGTGAAAACTCTGGACACTGAGGCTCGGATGAGCTTCCCTGGTTGGCAATACTCCATGTGAGTTGTCACACGCCGGCCCCACGAGGGTGATGCAGGCTTAGTCCATGAGAAGAGGACCTGGAAGCTTCACCTTCAGAACTTCCGGAATCTGCCCCATGTGTCTCTTCCTTTGGCTGATTTTAATGTGTGTCCTTTCCCTGTAATAAACTGTAACCGTGGGTAACAGCTTTCAGTGAGTTCTGTGAATCCTTCTAGTGAATTATCGAACCCGAGGGAGGTTTTGTGAATTCCACGAATTTGCATTCGGAATCTTAAGTGAGGGCAGTCTTGGAGGCTGTGACATCAAACTTAGCAGTTTAGTTAACTTTGGGAGGTCGATTAAATAAAATATATTACTAAATATTAATTTTACTTGTTTCTATTTGCTTTTTTAAATGCGGCTAGTAGAAAAGTTACATATAAGGTTCACATTTGTGGCTCGCACTATACTTCCATCAGATGGTGCTGTTATAGAGAGTATGCTGTGTTTATGCTGTGTCCTCAATTGATTGCCTTTTATTGTTGTTGAAAATATATACAGGAAAACATATACCATTTCAACAGTTTCTACATGTACAACACAGTGGCGTTGATTACATCGTTCAAATTGTGCAACTGTTCTCATCCTCCTTCTCTGATTTCTTCCTCCTCTATAGATATACACTCATTTCCCCCTAAGCTTCCTATCAAACCCTTCGAGTTGCTGTTAACAATTTGATCCCATATAGCAAGTTTTTTAAAAGCTCACAAAGCTCACAGCAGACATCCTTTACTAGTTAAGCTAGACTGTTGTTTGGTTTAAAGAAGGCCTCAGGGGATCTTTTTGCTCTGTATACTCCCCTCTTTTGATCAGGATTCTTCTACAGAACCTGTGATCAGAACGTTCAGTAACGGTAGCTGAGAAAACACAAGTTCAGGACTAGACTTTATGCTCAAAACTACATTTATCTACTTTCATCTACATAAACTGCATATACCTATATCCTCTCTTTGGAAATGATAAAAGCAGTAAGAAGCAAATGCCAGAAATCTTGCTAATCTGGGATTACTGATATTTGATTCTGGCTTGATAATAATTAGGTAGGATTCACTAAATTACAAACGGAGCCAAGCCTGCTCACTAAAATAAAGAATGCACAATTAAAAACAAAGGCTGGCAATACTATTCTGAAAAGCAAAACTTAATTACTCAAGAACTGTATCACTGTTCAGAATACATAAATACAGCCCCTCTACAAAAACCCATCTAAAATAATGAATGTTTGCATTATTTATACATTTTTTTTTGGCGAAAACTAATCACATAAAGGTAGTAGGCTGAACTTTATTTGAAAACTCATCCACCAATAAAAAATGTAGAAAATGCTGTAAAACAAACAGATTCTTATTCAGATTTAATAAGTAACCCCACCACTTCAAGCTATATATATAAAAAGTTAATTCCCTTCTTTCATTGAGCTTTTATCATAGTGCCTGTCACAGCATCGCCCAAGACCCAACTGTCTCTGCCACCTTCTTGATTTCCACTTCTTCCCCCCAAACGCTTGTTATTATATCAGGAAGAGTATCTTCTCTGAGGGCAGACCAACGGGAGGAGGGAGGCCCCAGCTGTCCCCCCACCCCAGCTGAGGGTTCCGGTGCATTCTGCCCTGGTCGAGCTGACCCAGGCTGGAAGAGATGCCCAAACAAGGCAAATGGTTGTGAGAAACAATACATGTTCATTTTAAAACACTACACTGGGGGGTGTGTTACACACAGAAGCTAACTAATACAGTGAGTGGACACATCTGTGCCAATTCTGGAGGGCGAGGGAAGGACCTGGACAAGGATAACATATAAGACTGAGAAGTTAGGGAAACGGGCAGTCAATTCGGGGGCGGGGATGGGGGGTGGGGCGCATGTGCCAAGAGGCAAGGAAAGGCTGTCTTTAATGTCTGGCTTAACAGAGACAGCCGGGTCTTCATCCATGCTCCCTTCAGGCGGCTGCACTATGTTGTTCTGGCTCAAGTATAAAAAGAAAATCCAGCCTTTTGCAGATAAGTAGTTAGAAAAGCAAGAAGTATTTTAACTGCCTCTTCTGATCACTGTAGGTATTCTTGTTGGATACTAGACAAAACGCAACAAGTGCTGATTTTTTTTCTTAAAGGCTAGTTGCAACATGGAATCTGAAATCCTATCAGTGAACTTTCTGTCTTGCACTTTGAATGGATCCTTTACCTCTGCGTGATTTTGGAACGCCATGATGTGCTGGTCATCTGGAAAACATTGGTTTCCTGAGTTACAAGGATCTCCCAGCGTTGACACGTTTCATTATACAGTACCCATAAAATCACATTTGTTAAGAGCACCGCTGATCCCATGAGAAAAGTCTTTAACTATCGGGAAGCTGCCAGTCTCGTGGTATCTTTCCAAAATTCTAATTTCTGCTTGAAACTTCCAATTTTAGCATTGGCAACAAATACTGCCAGTTCTCCTTGAAGAGACTGGATCCATTCATTCATTTTTTTAGATCATCTCTGCCAAATGCCCAAATCTGACTAACCACAGGTTGTCTATGAGTCATTCCTTCAAGTTAAAACAATAAAAAGGTATCATGGAGCAGCCCCAGACCCAGCTCGGTCTGCAATCCAAACAATCACAGAAGGGCCTTTCGGCACAGTAACCACCACGCTTCACTCCCTGCCCAGCACACGGAACACTGAGAAGACTGGTATTCAGAGGTCAGTAGTTAATAACATTAACAATTGTTACAAGGACATTCTTAATAAGACTGGCTTTTTTTCTCTCTACAAATGGGTGGTGGTGAATGACCAGTGACCACTGGCATGGTATCCTGCCTCCACTGCGTGAAAGACGCCAGTGGATTCACCACTCACTGCCTGTCGCACAGTGGAAAAGGCAAATAACAGCTCAGCATCATTGTGAGAATGGGGTCCGTGGCCTACACTTTGAGAAACACTGGTTTACAAGTACCACTACCTGAAGAAGGCAGATAGATAATCAAACAGCCACAGCATGAACCTTGTTGCTAGTCTTTATTCTGAGACTCACCGTTCACTAAGTTACAGTGAGAAGTGCAGCCTCAGTTCCCTGCCTGGGAAGCGTGTGATGTGAAGAATCAATGTACACACTCTGGCTGTCCTGCATCTGCACGTCCTCGTGTGCACGGTATTCTGAGCTTCTCTAAGAGACGATCACCTCCACCCTTGTCCCAACGTTGAAGCTTCCAGGTGCTGAAGTTTACAAACTGAATTCTATAAAGAACCAGTGTGATGGTTAATTTTACATGTCAACTTGGCTAGGCTGTGGCTCCCAGGAGCTTGGCCAGACACTAGACTAGTTGCTGTTCCACAGGGTAATGTCAGGTCGTGTAATGTAATCACCTTCCACAATGTAACCCGATGAAATGTAGCCAATCCATCAGGTGAAAGGGGCGTTTCCCTACGGTGTGGTCTGCCCCAGGCTATAAGCAGACAAAAATGGCAGAACTTGCTCTCTCTCGACTCTCTACTCTTCCCATTGCCTCCATTACAGATTTTAGACTTGCCAGCCCCCATAATCGTGGAAGCCAATCCCTTGAAGTAATGAATCAACCAATCCCTCTTTCTCTATCTACCCAGTGAAACCTGTGAAAGCTGGAACTTAACGGGACTGCCTTGTTTCTCGGGGTCTCGCAAGTTTTCCGCCTTTGACAGAGTGCAGTCTTAACCACTTTCCCATTGCTCTCTGTGAAGAATCCTACCTCACAAACACCCAGCAAGCGTTCCTTCTCAGACAGGTTTCTACCTCACACAGGTTTTACCGTATATACACATATACACATGCATGTCTCACTGGGTCTGTTTCTCTTGAGAACCCTGAGACATTCTGGCACCAGAACCCTGACGAAGTCAGCCGGCACAGCCTGTAAAATCGCCCGCCAGGAACCAGCCCGCCGATGATGCAGGCAAAGCACTCTACACAGTGGGTAGCCGGCAGGGCACGGGCCCGCCAGGCTGGAGACGGCGGTGCTCCGCAGATCTGCACCGCCAGGGAGCAGCTGTGGGCTGACAGCCAAACATCTGCTTTTTAATTTTGCAGCCACCAGTTCCACAGTGCCTGTACCTACCCTCCCCACTGGGGACTGGCCTCAAAGTCATCCTGAATACGAGAGTCAATATGTGAATTAATTTGTAAAGCTACAAAGCACCCTATTCCTTCAAGTTATTCACATCAATAGTCCAAGCTAGGAACGGCATCGCCCACCTAAGAGGTTATTACTATCGGTGTGGATGAGGCTGCTGCTACGCGACAGCCAGATTTTAAGTCAGCCAATCTCAGCACACTAAAGATTTGGCTACGGGGCTATTTTTGCCATTCAGTAACAATACTTAAAAAAAAAGAAAGTCAGTGAGGTTTTAAGAATACCTGTACAAATACGACACATCGGCAGATGGGAAACATAACACCCCATTGTGGCTGCAGCAGGCGGCATCGCTGGGACACCTTTTAGCTCTAGTAAGACTGCCTTTCAGTTTTCCAACTCTGCCATTTCACCAGCATGACTAAAATAGTGACCTGAAGCAAACACGTACCCACTGCGCTTGTGCCATTTCCTTCATTGACTCTGTGAAAGCAACAGCAAACCTAGAGAAACGAACAGAAGCAAGGGAAACAATTAGGGCAGAACTCAATTACCACAACTGCGAGACAGCTCCTCACCCCAAACGATGAGCCACAAGGTAAGACGCAAAATTTAAAGGGGGATCAATCCTTGCCGCTCGCGCTCAATGGCCGTGAGGTTTAATCTGCACCCGCATCACAAAGGGTCGTGTACGCAAGAAATAAACCAAATGAAGTTCAACACTTCCTATCTTTTCTTGCTCCTTCCGTACAAGGTCATGCAACTAAAGACAACAGTATGAGCACCACGATTAAACAAGGAGTATTTGAAATTTGCAGAAATTGTTCTTTGAAGGACAGCTTTCATCACAGTACAGCTCAAAAAATCATGAAATCGCTGACATTCAATCATTTTTGTCCTACAAAATAGCCATTTGATATGGTTCAACCTAACATGCGCTGTACACTTCCTAATAATGAAACTAATTTTGAAGGACTCCATGTACTACCTAAAAGGGTCCCCAATGGCACAACGGTTAAGAACTCGGTTGCTAATCAAAAGGTTGGCAGTTTGAACCCACCCCTGACCTGTGTGGGATTACAGCTCAGAAAACACTATGGGACAATTCTACTCTGTCACATGGGTTGCTGAGTTGAAAATCGACTCCGGGGAACCTAACAATAGACAATCACAGTGTACCTAAGATCATCTAGGAACATATTAAAAAAAAAAAAAGTGCCAAGCAAATGAGCAACAGAGAGTTCGTATTAAATGAAGTGTCTCAAAATTAGTTTCACTAGGAAGTACACAGTACATGTGAGGTTGAACCATATGAAATGGGTATTTTGTAGGATAAAAATGGTTGAACATCAGCAATTTCATGCTTTTGAGCTATACTGTTACTAAAGCTGTGTTTGAAAACAGAACCACATGTCAAAGTGAGCAAGTACACCTTGAAATGTCAATATGCTACCAGAAGTGCAAAAGCGGTGGTGTTAGATTTCTCACAAGAAATGTAACCTTTTAAAATTTCTTTAGTATCCTCGAATCTTTGAGCTAGAAAAATCTCTTAAAACCAAAAAAACAAAATCAAACCTGTTGCTGTCGAGTCGATTCTGACTCACAGCAATCCCACAGGACACAGTACAACTGCCCCATAGGGTTTCCAAGGAGCCACTAGTAGATTCAATCTGCTGACATTTTGGTTAAGAGCTCTTAACCACTGCGCCACCAAGGCTCCAGAAAAATCTCTTAACAGGTTATCTATTAAGTAGGTGTGAAATCAAGGTCAAGGGTGCTACAGTGAGGAACCATCATTCTTAACTAAATGAAGTGTGTCTTGGACAGAAATGGCACAGTTAACTAAAGTTCATCCCATTAATTCCTGAACCTTGAACTCTGACGTGTCTGGATGTGGGCCACTTTATGCTATCCTACTCGGAGTTTGCTGAGCTTCTTAGATGTGCAGGTTGATGTTTTTCATCAAATTTGAGAAGTTTTAGGGAGATCGGAACTCTTATGCACTGCTGGTGGGAATGCAAAATGATACAACCATTTTGCAAAATCATACGGCGCTTCCTCAGAAAGCTAGAAATAGACATACCATCCGATCCAGCAATTCCACTCCTAGGAATATATCCTAGAGAAATAAGAGTCATCACTCGAATAGACATATGCACACCTATGTTCATG